TTCACCATGTACAAGATCCTGAAGTCTTGATAGAGCCACACGTAGTGATTGGGGATAGTCATGGTCTGGAAAGTGACTTGCTTGGCATTCTTGAAGAAGCTGTCGGGTCGCCACAGAGCCTTGAGCCAGTCCAGGTCGAGGAGCCTGTGGGAGAGGGAAGGGGATGTTAGTCTCTCTGTCTGTCTGTCTCTCTTTCTCTCTCCTTCTGTCTGTCTGTCTCTCTTTCTCTCTCTCTGTCTCACTCACTCTCTCTTTCTCTCCCTCTTACTCACTCACTCACTCTCTCTCTTTCTCTCTCTCTCTCTCTTGTTGTTGTTATTGTTCCTGTTATTTTTGTTGTTATATTTTGGTGGTGGTGCTGTTTTTATGCTGCTGTTCTTGCTGGTATTGTTACTGCTGCTAATGTCTTTGTTTTTGTTTTTATTGTTGCTGTTGTTTTTATGCTGTTGTTGTTGATGACGTCACCGTTGCTATTGCCTTTGATGTTGTTTGTAGTTGTTACTGTTGTTGCTTTTCTTGTTCCTAATGATTTTGTCCTTTTTATCTGCCTTATATTGTGGGTTTTAAGCGTAGATCGCGTAGTATACACATAAAGAACACGTACAGACTACCATACTCTACATTTACGCACGCACTCGCATACATGAAGCATTATCGAGAGAAATATCGATCTGTTTCCGTAACACATCTTGCATTCAGCCACCGGTCGCGATTAAACTGGTTCTTAACAGTTTTAGCATTCTGCTTCGGACCGGCTTTAAATTCTCGGGCGGCATTCACGATAGTTCTTACGCTGTTGCCTGATTCAGTTAGAGGGTTCTATTATTAAAGGGACAAAGATGCTCAAGATCGAAAATCAAGGTATTTTAAAGTGATATGTATTGATTGGTATAACAGTATGGCACGGGAGATATTTTTTTTCTTTACATCTCTCTTTCTCATCTCCTTCTTCCCCTACCTCTCTCTCTCTTTCTCTCCTCCCCCCTCTCTCTTTCTCTCCCCCCCTCTCTCTCTGTCTTTCTCTCCTCCCTTCCTCTCCTCCCCCCCTCTCTCTTTCTCCCCCCCCTCTCTCTCTTTCTCTCCCCCCACCCCTCTCCCTCTTCCCCCCTCTCTCTCTCTTTATCTCCCTCCTATATCGAATAATCTAAAACATCGAATATCCTATAACCATACTTCAAGCACATATAATATAACTTCTTCAAACACATTCTATCCCGTAGTATCTGATCCATTACAGCCACACAAAACAGAAATCCGATTTCAGGAACCCCCCCACCCCCCCACTCCCAACACACGCCCCAAACATACCTGATTTCAGACTGCCCCCGATTTCAGTCTAATATCTCTCCACTGCTCCCGATTTCAGGCTATCTCTTTCCCTTCCCGCCGATTTCAGGTTATGCCCTTCCAAAGAACAAAGTACAATGGTTGTGAGAACATTAATGCTTTGTCCATTCCTAATGTTCCTCGGGGTATTTGTAGATCAATACTACTTGAGGGAGGAAGAGCGATGCGGAGACAAGAGTGGAGGGGAAGAGAGAGAGAGAGAGAGAGAGAGAGAGAGAGAGAGAGAGAGAGAGAGAGAGAGAGAGAGAGAGAGAGAGAGAGAGAGAGAGAGAGAGGAACGAATGAATACAAAAGACATTTACCAAGAAATCTTCGAAAGTTTTATTCTTTTTCCCCATCTTTTTAAGATAATGCAGAAATACAATACTCATCTTCGGAAAAAAAATCAAACTACCAGATTCTCTGTCTGTCTGTCTGTCTCACTCTCACTCTCACGCTCTCTCTCTCTCTCTCTCTCTCTCTCTCTCTCACATGAAAAATAAGAGATTCCTGGATGCCTATCGTTAATAACTCATCCAATACTTAAGAAGAAACGGAAACTGAATATATGTCATGAATAATAATTGACTTCATCAGTATTGTTGTCCGTTTTACATTCTTTCAGAAAATGATCAGAAAATAATATACTAGTCCCCTAAAAGATCTCCCACGTGTTCGAATGCATATTCCTCTAAAGAAAGAGACAAAGGAAATAGTTTACTGAAAAAAAAAAAAAATTACAATCAATTATGAAGATACAAATATGCGGTAGTTGTCTTCTTGAGTTCCTCTCCTCCTCCTTCTCCCTCTTCCCTCTCTCCCCCCTTTCACTCTCCCTCTCCCTCTTCCCCCTCTCCCTCTCGCTCTCCCTTTCTTCCCCCACTCTCTCCCCCCCTCTCTCTCTCCCTCTCCCTTCCTCCCCCCGCTCTCTCTTTCTCTCTCTCTCTCTCATGTGCATAAGAGGAGAGTCCTAAATACATATCATTAATAATTTATTCGCTACGAGTAACGGATACCTGATTTACGTCATGAATAAAAATGGACTTTATTTGAATTAATATCCGATTTACATTTCGAAAAAAAAAAAAAAATGCAGTTATAATCAATTATCAGAAATCCCTTAATGATAAAGAACATTATGATATTCCACCGAATAACTATGAAATCGATAATA